GAGAAATGCATCAAATAGGTAAATGCTGCATTTATATTGCATGTAGCATACGTATGAGAATTTGCGCATGCATTTTGATGCATATGCAAATGTTTGCATATATAAAAATAAAAGTGTAATAAAACTGTAATGCAACAATCTGATTCCAGAAAAGATAAATTATTAGCTTATCTTCTGGTAGAAGGTAGTAATCATTACTCATAAATCAATTATGAACTCTTCAGTTTCATTGGTTATATATTTAAAGAGAACACTGGATGCAGTCTGCCATAAAAGAAGCGTCTTTATCAAGTGTAAAATATTTTTTGTAAAAGTATGAAGCATAAGTGATCAAAATAATTACCTACATAATCCTCATGTACCTCCGCTTTCCATTTTTTTGGAATAAATAAATGAAATAATAGCATATGAATTTTGATCCTCTGTTTTGACTATCACATTTAATCATGGTTACACAGTAGCACCAAAATTAGGACAAAATACAAGAGTTACAGGAGAGATCTTAAATTATATGAGCTCAGTGCATGCTTTGAAAACTCTCATTAGAGAGAGGAAAAAAGTCCCCAACTGCCGAAATTTTGCTGGATTTTCCCACAAAAGTACACCCCAAACCACCCCAAACTAAACAAAAGATACAATAGACTGATTTTTGAATAGATATGTTATCTACAGTTTATAGGACAGACAGTCCATTTAAATAGAAAAAAGATTGATTTACATAGAGCAAGATAGAGTACAAAAGCACAGCTTTTGTAATTTTGGTAATATTGCAATTTTACAAACATATTGCATAGTGTGTGTAAGAAAATAGTTCCATTTTTCATATATACAAGAAAACATTTACATGAAAGTTACAAAACAAAATAAATGAATAGTGGACCTGATTTAAAGAATTGTATAAATAACGACACCCAGACTCCAAATTACATATCTCCATTGTTAGTGAATGTCCTTGCACATCTTTAACCCTGTTTGGCTTTTATTTATAAATATTGAAACAAATGAGATACTGACTGAAAAAGAATCTCAGTTCATTTGACCTCATTCCTTTTAATGATTTCCATTGGCTTTCTCCAAAGAGTGGCGACACATCAGGTAACATGTAGAAAATAAAAATAGCCCTCTGGTTCTAAATCTACTTCAAACTTATTCTATAAAGAATTTTTTGCAAACAATGTTATTACCCAGCTGAGTAAACCCATCCTTGCCCTACTTTAAGATACAGTCTTCGTAAACACATTATAGGAATACCAAAGGGTATATGATGCACGTATTGAAAAATAAGTGGGCCATTTAACAAGCAGTTTTCCCTCTAAGAATGCTCATGAATGCCTACAGCTCAGAATTCTGCAAGGAGGATGCTTATCTCATAATTCCTTTTAATCGTTTGAAATAAGTGAGCAGTGTTGTAGAATTAAATACCATAGAAATCCCATTCTTTGGTCTTTGACATTTAAGGAAGTAATGAACTTGACTATAAAGTGATGTACAATGTTTAAAGAGGTCACTCAACAGGTTATTAAAAAGGAATGAAAATACAGTATTCTCTTGTGGTAGTTTCTAATATTTATTACAGTATGTCTTAGTATATAGAGCAAATAATTTCTCTAAGTATCTTTAAGTATGGTTTAATGATTAGACTGATTCAGATTAGGCCAAAGCTATTAGAATAAGGTGATTAGACTTCACTAATATAAAACTCAAAAATGACTAATTCTGATGGTTGTGAATAGATAATTTGGCCATTAAATATCCTCAATTCTTCTAATTGAGAGTGATATTGAAATGATCTGGTGTAAAAGATAGAATTACATGCATTAGACACTCTCCTGGTTACTGCCACCTCTGAAAGATAGCATGCTTGTAATGACAATTATTTAAATTTTATGTCATTTAACATTATTGTAAGCTGAGGTAATATTTAAATCACCATATGGTAGAATATGGGAGAAATCTGATATAAAGGTTAAAAAATTTGAACAACTGATGTCTGTGATTAAATTATTAGAACATTGATGCTGCTTGCCAGAATGGGGATAATAGCAAAATGGAACTTAGTTTTTTTCAAAATGTTCACACTTTGTAATTATGTTGTTCATATATTGCCATTTCAAGTTTGTTCCTTTCCAAGATTAACTATATAATAAAGCTCATCAATCACGCCTAGTTTTCCCAAACGGGTGTTGATATTCAAATGATTTGAGTAAAAAAAATGAAATTAAGAGAAAAGTTATAGGGATAGAGTGCAAGATGCTAGAAGGATTTGCATTTTGGTATTCATAGTCAGCTATAACTGAGAAGAAAAAGTTGATTTCCCTAAAATCAAAATTTAGAGATGAAAATGATCAAAGATTTTGTACTATGATCAGTAAAATTAAACATACTTCTTGAAAAAAAATTACATGATTTGCTGGAGGCAGAAGATTAGACATCCTGGCTCCATTTCCAGAGATTTAGGTTACTATAATTTAAGACTTCAAAATTACCAGAAAAATGTAAGTGTATAGCTGTCTTACATCCTGAAATAATTATGCACTAGCTTATAATTTTATACCTAGCAAAAAGATAACATCTAAGTATAGGGTAGAAATCTTGGAGCTTCTACCAAAATGAGAAGGTTTAAAAGTATTTTGTTGAAGTTTTGCCTAAAATATTTTGAAACAAAAGAATATTTTATCTACATCTCATTTTTATTCTCCACCCCACCCTTCACCAAAGTGAAAAATACATATTATGTTTCCTTTTGTATTCCTGAGTGGGGATTTAAACACTAGGAATACTGCTAAACACATTCTTCTGGCCTTGTTGTCTACCTGGGCTAAACTGAGTATAGTTATTACGATAATAACTGTATGTTCATAAGCTAGCTTGGGAGAGTCCATGCAGTGTCTATGAAAAGAATTGCTTCTGAGTGATTTAGAGATGAGATTTGTACCATGTAAGTAAACAAAGGCATTTATATGCAAATGGTAGCATTTAAAAACATGGTAGCATGGATACTCAACTTTTCTGATAATTCTGCCAATAAGGTACCTCTGTTAATGGAACTTAGTTTTTTTCTGATAAAGAAGTCGAACATTTAGACATAATCATCTAATGTTACAATAGACATGTAAGCTCATGATTGGAAATCCATACAGTTGAGCTAAATAATCAGTGCTGCTTTAGTCATTTGTATCATTTTTAAAAAAATTACATTCAAATTTCTTTCCATCATGTGAACAGTTTACACCTCTGAGAATGATAAATTACTTACTATGGGTTTATACTGGTTCAAAAAGCATCTGAATTAAAGATTGGGCAGCTTCTCCTTGGAAATTTTTCTCATACCCTTTTTGTTTCATTTTATTTTTTCTTGTCTGACTTGAGACTGACAATTTCAGTGGTCTTTTTCACTTTCTATATTTGATCCTGGAATAACAAAATGTTAGAGCTGAAAAGGGACATGCATTTTAGTACTTCAGTTATAAAGTTGAGTGAGTTGGAACCTGGAGACTCCCAGCCATTAATTAGGTGAAGACGTGGCTGAGGTTAGATAGTTACTAGTCAAAATAAGTATTCCTATTTGATGAAGAAACTTTCTAATCACCTTAATTTAGAGATAGTAAGAACTTGAATACAAATCAATATTTACTGCTTTACTCAAAATTCTATATATAGTTAACACAGTTGTTTTAGAAATCATAAATCTTATACTTAATGTATTTTTAAGACAAATATGAGAATGTCTCATGTTGAATAATGTTTTATGTAAATTCTGTTGTAACCTTTTAAACTGGTGCACATCTTAATTCCTTTTTAGTGGACCTAAAGGTTTGTATAACTTCAAAGCACAAGTTTTATTTTAAACAGTGAATGTGAACTAGCTATCAAACCCTTTTGCTGAATATCAAATAGATTCAGTGAACCAGAGGCTTTGCAATGATTTGAAATGATATATTATCTAAAAACACAATTCTCATTTTGCTGATTTCATTACCCAGTTTGCTCACGGTCAGCTAAGTTACTTTTGGAAGTTAATCTCTCACTTTCTTCTGTGCTGTAGGACTTGAATTCTGAAGGTTCTACATTTAGGATTCTCTCCAAGAAAACTTGCACATACGTACTACTTGTTTGCATGGGGGAATGATTGATCGAAATATGAAAATGTACAGACTTACCTTACCCCAACCAAGCCATTGTCCCATAAAAGGAAATGTTTAATAGGGATTTACATATTGGAGTGTATAAGTTTCAAGAATTTGAATTAATGTTGTGACAAACCAATCTACCGCATTCTGGAGTGATTTATTAGGAGCTAATATACAGGTGGAGAATAGAAGAAACTATGACTTTAATGTCAAATAGTTTAACAGTGTAATAAAAGTAGTTAAATATTAACAGCCAAAAGGAAATATGACTACCTTAAAAATACCACCGTAATAGAGGAAATACATTTTTCACATTAACATTTTTTTTTTTTGCTGTTTAAATCAAGGCCTTTTAATTTAAATTTTAGTGTCCTTTAACCTTAGCCTCAAATAAAATAAGTGGATCATTTTGATAATGCTACCTCAATGGAAAGTGAATCCGTTCTCAGCATTATGCCTCACCTTAATACTTATTTAGAGGATGCTGTAGTTGAAGCAGTCAGAATCCGGTAGATAGTACAAAGTGAATGGAGCAAACCAGAACCCTAGCATACCAGCTGCCCCAGAAAGGACAGCATGCGGACCTTCTAAAAATGGCATCTGGATTCCACATGATTCCCCAACACCAGCATGTCTCTAATAATCCTATCTTATATTGCAATATGCTTGATGTTTTTTTCCAAAGCAAATATTTCACATGCAATAGCCAAGTCAATACATAAGGCCGTCCAGATCTGACAGATGACAATATAATGGCATTTTGTTACTTCTGGGATTATATTGCTGAGTGCTTTCAAAATTACCTAATGTACAAAATTCTAGACTTAGTAGACAAAGAGTAACAACACATCGAATTGAAAGAAACAGAACTCAAGAAGGGATTCTGTCTTATTTTTGTGTTTTGTTAAAAACCATGTATTGAATTTAATTATTTTTTTTTAGTAAAGCAAGCACATCATAATGCTTCAAAATTTTAAAATTCAGGGATAAAAGTTTACATCCAAAAAGATGAATGAAAAATTGTGCTTTCAAACTGTAGGATTAGTGTCTGACAGGGTTTAACCATTTTATCTTGCCACCAGATACTGGGAATTTCATCTATGCAATGTGTATGTGCAGTTCATATCCAGATCCTGCAAAACAAACAAACAAACAAAAAAACCTACAACTATGTGCTTCACTTCTTGTAGCAAAGGCACCTATGTTATTCTCCCTTTCCAGCAAGAGTTTTGATCCGATTTTCCTTTTGAAGATGTTTTTATCCGCTGCTGTGTCCCTCCCTCTGCTGAGCAGTTCAGGAAATCGCAAGAGGAGGTGGCAGCAAATCTCTGCTTACACTGGAAGAAGTTGCTCCGTGGACCGTTTGAAGATGCTCTGGACTGATCACAAGGGAAACCGAGCAGAACTGTGAAGCAGACGGACGGGAACAAAAGGCTATTCTGGTGTGAGGAGGAATCAGTCACTTCAGTTCCACAAGCAGATGTTGCTACTGGACTGGCAGGTGGAACTTACTCCTGCTGGAGAAAGGTAAAGTTTGCCATTGGGGCAGACACAGAGTTCGTACACAGTCTGTCGAGAGTTTGAGGAGCTGGGAGAAGAAGATGCAAAGGAGCCGGTCGGTAGATTTCCCAGCCGGATTGTATCTGAATTTAAAAATATCTAGAGGCAAAAGAAATTTCATTTTAATTTATTTCAGCATTATACATTCCTCAGAGCTTTACAACATGGCCTGATAACGGCTCTACAACACACAATCCTATTGGTTTAGCTGCCATGCTTTGCTGAACAAACAAATTGCATTCCTACAGTATAGCCCAAAAGCTCCACAGCTATCTCCTCCTTTGAGAGTTGGTGCGTTCTGACAGCAAGCCCTGGATCTGAGAAGCAATATTGAACAATCTGCTTAAGGGGCCAACCCAGTTATTCAAACACCACAGAAAATTAATGATTTTGACAGTCTCTCAATTGAACTTCTTAATCGTGCCTGGCCTAAAGGATGTACAAAGAAATCAGGATGTAAATAAAGATATTACTGAAGCAGTGAATAATTAACTTTAAATATACTTTCTTAATTATGTCTTTAAATACTTGCAAAGCATGTTAACTTGCAATCTAAAAGATATACCAAGTAGACAGCAAATTAAACTGATGAATTATTATATATAATCATATTATAGGAACCCATGAAGCATGCTATCTAAGCCCTATGTTCATTTCTTTCAAGAATAGCAGCCATATAGGATTTTAACTTGAATGGTAGAAAGTCAAGAAAAAGTACAACAGGATGGTGTTTTTGAATGAGTAAAGAAACAACTTGATGTCTTAGTTCTATCGGTATACAATCATTCATTACCTAAAGGACATGCCTAAATTGACAGAAGAAATCATAATCTTTATTGTTCTCCATCTTTGTTCTCATCTACATGCTGTTTGCTTTGTAGTAGGATTTCTGTATTAGCTGTCTCTGTTCTTGCCCATTTTCTTACAGCTAGGGTGAACTTTAAAGGTACAGAGGTGGAATCATGCCCCTTCATAGCTCTAACCTCTGTTGGCCTCCAATTCTGCTGTGAGGACCTTCCATGGCTACAGCATCTGGACTATGTCTAGCATCCTTTCCCATGTTTCAAATCTCACCTTTGCTCTGTATTGAAACAACTGTGGTTTCAGGGACTACTTGCTGCTTTCCTCTGCTCAGGCAGTTGCAAGTGGTGTTAGATACTGACTAGGAAGTGAAGAACATGGATGGTGGTGGAAGTATCCACTGTTTACTTTGGCATACTTTTTTTTTTTAACTTGTTTAACTTTGGGGATCTAGTACATAGTTCCAATTGGGCAAAATAGATTAAGATCTCATTTTTTCCCAGATTAATTCAGTTTAAGTTCTATGTTTCTAATAAAATGATTGCTCAGATAAGATTTTCTCACTGTCCCATGAAAACAACAGTAATTCATTCATTTCTTCTTAACAGCGCTCTTATTCGCTACAAAATTGAATCTGACATCTTAAGTTTTGATTGTTTATAGACCTTTATAACCAATCCCTTTAGAACATTAGGTCATTGCTTCATTTCTTACAATTGCAAGTATGATTCATAGTCTTTGATTCATAGCTGTAGAATGGTACATAGACTTGAGCCTGCACACTCTGAATAAAACAATGGCATGGCACTTTTATTTTGGACATAGCTTCCATCATTAGAGTCCAGAAATGTTGATGATCCTTACTCAAAAAAATAAAAAATCCCCGAATCCAAATTACTCCCAAATCTAAAATTATTAACTATGGACAAAAGGCCACAAATGGTAGATTTGAACACATCTGATCTAATATAACGATTTGTAGTAAAAAGGCAGGTGAAATACAAATGTTAAATAACTCTAAGAGTATGGACAGAATTAGTTTCCTGTTTATACTTGGGTCACATACCTAAACTATTTCATTATGTATGTAAATAATCCAAAACCAGAAAAAAATGTCTGATGCATTACTTGTCGCAAGAATTTTGATAAAGAATAATCTACCTGTACCATCTTCCAATGAGTTCTGCTTTCCCTGATGTCCAAAGATGATATCCAGATCTTAGTAATATACTCCACGTTAGCAATTTATTATGTTTAATCTTGTTTTCATAATCACTTGATGCATTATTTTATATTAATATCATATCTTACTTTCCCTACTAAACTTTGTTTTCTCCAGATGTTAAATCATGCTGGATGCTTTCTCCTTTTTAGCTTCATGATATTTGTACCATTGCAGGCATCTCCCATATAATTAGAAGTGAATAAATGCTATTTATCAATACTTCATATGCTTAAAGTAAAGTTAAAGCATGATTAACACTTTTGCTTATATGTGTCAGATGCCAAAATACATTACCCAATGATTACATCTGGGTTAAGGGACAGGAGAACAAACAGAAATAACTTCTGTTTTAAGTTTGCAAGGTGGTACATTTTTTCCCTGTTGTAGCAGTGAGAAGGGGACAAAACCAACAAACGTTCATGGTTCGGGACATGAATGCAGAGCCCCATTTCTTCTTGCAACATGTTTCCCTGCTGTCACTTTGAGGACTGTAACACTAATAGTTGTATACTTTGTGCCATCTTCTTCTTAAGGAAGAAAGGATAATTTGGGGGATGGGGATAGGGTGGGGTTGGGGTAGGTTCTGCTTGATACAGGAAGTGGGCTTGAATTGGCAGCTTTTATCCACTTCATCTGAGGAGCTGGCATGCTTGAGGGGTAGACATTCTCAAGCTTAACAAACAAACAAAAACTTGTAGACTTGGATCTATGAATCTGGAGTGGATTCACATTAGATTTATAAAACATGAGCTAAATCTAATTCATGAAACATTGAGACATAGATGATTAGTGTGGAAGGCTAAAGAACTTCACAAAATGGAAATTTGTGAGGTGCTTCAAGTGAAGATTGATTCTGTGATTCTTTGAATTACTAAGCACAGAAGCGCTGTGTTATTGGTTAGCAAATGGTGGCTTGCAAGAGATTGCTTTCTCCATGTAATATGATTTTTAGAATTTTAGAATTTGCCAGTTCTCAACTGGTATAGTCATGGTGGGTGACTGCTGAGAGAGCTTCTTTATTCAGGGAAGACATGCAGGTGGCAGCCTTGCAAAGGTAGCCTGGGGTGGGTATTTGTCCTAGCAATTAGACATTTCTTTTTTATTTTTTAATAAAAGATTTATTTATTCTTCTTGGAAAGTGAAATTTAGAGAGGAGAGACAGATCTTCTACCTGTTGGTTCATTCCCAATTGGTTGCAACAGCTGAAACTGAACTGATCCTAAGCCAGGAGCTTATTTATGTCTCCCATGTGGGTGCAGGATCCCAAGGCCTTAGGCCATCCTGTACTGCTTTCTCAGGCCACAAGCAGGGAGCTGGTTGGGAAGTGGAGCATCCAGGACTCAAATTGACACTTATATAGGATCCTGGTAATTGCAACATGAAGACTTAGCCACTAGTCTACTGTGCAGGGCCCAATTAGTCATTTCTTGAAATGCATCAGAATGCCTGGATTCTAGGCTCTACTCTGAATATCCTGTCTTGCTCACATATGTTTCTGGAGGCACGAGGGCTCAAGTGTGTGTGTGTCTGTGCCACTCACATGGGAAAAGGGGTTTGAATTCCCTCCCAGCTTCTGAATGATTTAGCTTCAACTGTGTCAGGCATTTGAGGAGTAAGACAATGAATGGGGATTCTGGTTTTGTGTGTGTGTGTGTTGCACTCAAATAATCATGTCATGGAAAAAAGTAACATCAAGTAGGAGGCTTGTTCAAGAAAAAATGAGCCAAAGATTTGTGTCTGATGATGTGCTGACAGCTGTAGTATAACCAAATCAGTGTTCTTGGTGATGTTTCCATCTCTTTGGGGCCATTTTAAGGAGTAGAATGGCTTAACAACGACACCTCATTCCATCAGTTTCTGTTTCCAGCGAAACTTTACTTGTGTAAAGGCTGTAGGCATTGTTACTATGCAAATCCATTTGCATGGAGCAATTACAAAGAAAAAACATCGTTTCCATGCTTGAGACAGGGCTATTGCAAATTGATCCCTTCCAACACCTTTGCTGTGCTTTTCCAGGATTCTGTGGTGTGGATACATTTAATTGTATTTCCATTCTGTGTAGGTAGTCATTTTATCCTGCTGAGTTCCTGTCGTCCAAAGTGTCCATTTCCATATCGTGCCTTGAACTGTATAAACCATTTATTCTGAAACTCTATTCTTCAAATCATAGGCCTGAGCTTTTAATGCAGTCTACGCTACCAGGAATTCATTTATCCAGGTATTACCTGTTAATCAAGCCTATCACTCTTAGAAAATCTTATTTTTAAGTTAATTATTTTTGAGATCACATTTAAAAATCACACCTTAATCAAAGGCTTGATCACTCTATTAAATAATCCAACACATACAAGTCTAAAGATCATAGTTCAATGGGAACATAGGCAAGGGCTATGTATAATGAGCAAATGAAATTATCTTTTTAACTTCATGCATATCTTAAAATGGTCACAAAATCATTGAAACTATAGTAGTATATAATTCCCACCAATGTGTTTGACCAAACATTGTATTTGCAGCAAAAGCGATACATAAAGGCATTTCTTTCATTTTTCTTAAGTTTTAACTCCCACATGTAAAGTAGGATATGGAGTCTACACCTACAGAACTGTATCATGGACAACGATGATAAAAATAATGAGATAGTCTTAACATACAGTTTAAGAAGTAAGATGATAAAGTATTTGTGTTTCTGTTTGGCTTATTTCTACACATGATGCTATTTGTGGGAGTGTAAATGAGAGAAGCCATCGTGGAAAACAGTGTGCACATTTCTTGAAAAATTAGAAATAGGCTTGAATATGATCCAGCAATGCCTTTACTGGATATATACACCACAAATTCGTGACCTCATTGTATCAGAGATGCCTGCCCCATTATGCTAACAGTGGGTAAAATCTGGAATTACAAACAAATCATCAGATGAATAAAAAAAATGTGGTACATATATGCGGAACATTATTCAGTTATAGATAGTGAGAATATCATTAGGACCAGATGCTTATTTTCAAAATAAAAATGTTCTGTGGTCTGATACATGCTATGATGTGTTACTACATAGCATGCACAAAATTGTGATTCATACTTTCCTTAGAATTGCACTTGAAGTGCCTTGCCATATTATGTCTGGAATGACAATCTTCTGTCCAAAGTTTTATGTGTACCTTGGATCTGTAACCTTGTTTGCTCTTCTGAATATTTTCATTTGTTGTCTGCACTGATATTAACTCTTATGCAAATATGGTGAATAATTAATTAGACTCTCTTTGGCATGGGTATCATAGGATGATTTTATATCCTCTATACTTCTTTATAAGAAAATTACATGCTATTATAAAGTAATATGCCTTTCTGTACTTTGAATAATTTAAGAACGGCAAACAGATGAAAAGCTCAGGCTATGGTTTATTAATAGCATAACTGGCAATTAAAAGCTAATTTGTAATTGAATCAAAAGATTGTGCTGAAGTTTTGAATAAAAGGACATAAGCACATTGTTCATAACTAGGAACAGAGTGCAGATTAATAACCACTAATATTTACTATGTAATCATTCCCTATGAATAATTTAAATGAAATAGCAGAATACAAGCACAATTTTTAAAAGAATGTAAAGAATTGAAAAGCTTTTGTCACACTGTAGTGGACAAAATACAGTAGTCTAAAGTTGTTATGGAAAGATACTCTAAAATACTATGTAATGATTTCCAGATAATTGAGTTTATAATAACTGCTAAGATGCTAATATGGTCCTATCAGCTGATTTTTTTTAACAGTTGATTCAATTATGAGTAAAATTTAGATCAGAAAATGTGTCTTGAAACAGTAACTAGTATAATGTCAGAAAATTAACAGAATATCCTGTTTATGACTGTGTTAGTTTCTATTCCAATCATTAAATCTGAAAAGGTATGGATACTCATTGGAGCAGTTCTCTCAAACTGCCTTCTCATTGTCATGCAAACTTGTCCTAAAAAAGATGATAATAAAAAACACACCAAGGAATAAAATGATGAGGGATTGCATTGGTAGTATCAACAATATAACAGATTATAGTATAATTTTACAGAATAGAAGGGCTGCAGATAATTAAGGAGGAATTAAAAATAACTAAGATGTCGAGGAATGTGTATAAAGAATAGATGAGAACTTTACAAATAATCGCCAACATCAAAGCTCAATATTTGGGTTAAGCAATTTAATAGTGCATAGGGAAGACACACTTAATATGGCAGCAAAATAAAGTGCAACTATTCAAGACACATGAGTAGAAAATGGAAAAAAAGAATAAGATCTGGAATGTAAGAGTGATGAGACAGCTTTTCTTCAGAGTTTCAGTTAAATGCCATGGAAAAAATGAGTGAGTATCGGAAAGATAATGCTGAGAAATTTCTAGAACTGATAATGTGCCTCTGTATATCAAAAGTAAATGAAATAAATATGTGGTTGTTAAATTGGAGTTAAATAATACAATACCAAAGGCAAAGAATGCTGACTTAAAGCTAGTAATAAGGGAAAAATGTATAAAGGATTGAAAATATGACTTAGAAGATTCTTGAGAGGAAAAGTGAAAAGGAAGAAAAACATTACAATGTAGATGTTGACACGGGAAATTCCAATTAAGATAACAATTTTTTTTTGTTTGAAATCGAAGGAGAATATAAAGACTGTTGCTGTTATTCCTGTTATCTGGATAGTAACTATGCTTATTTGTCAGTTTTGAAAAATATAGGGATTTAGGTAATCCATATTTTTTTTCTCAGTAGAAAATGCACTGTCACTTAAAGGAACCCTAGACTTCTCAGATTCATATTCAAGCAGCTTGGTACTTTCCTGAAGGAAGCTTTGGCACAGAGCACATCGTGCTTGTCCTGGATTGGCGGAACTTGACAAGGGAAGGAATTCTCGGAGCAGTAACGGTTCAGTGTCTTCTGAGGGACTCACCTCGCCTTCTGTGGACTGCAGGTGGAGCTCCTTCCTGCAGGTGGCCTTGAAGTCCCCAGCGGCAGCGCTCACCTGGACCCCGCGAGGGGCTTCCATGATCAAGGATCTGGTGGGCGATTCAAGCCTAATGGAAAAACAGAAGTAAATGCTGAATAGAAAATAGAAAAAAAAATGACTATTGGAACCAACTGAAAACTAATCAAATGGATGGTCCTGTATCCGTGTTCTCGCCATTTAAAACAAAAGTAAATGAATTTTAAATTGACCTAGATAAGGAACTCAATTTTTTGCTCTTTTAACATTCATTTTACATCATTTGATTATATAATAATTAAAACAATTCCTCATGTTTTTCTTTATAGTGCTAATGAGAAGTAGGCCACAAGTTATCTCAGGTAAATATTTTACATATTATCAATACTAGTGGTACATGTTTAATGAATTCTACAAGTTAAGACTTGCATGTCCCTAAATAACAGATTTCTGTTTGGTTGAGGACTTCAATCGAAATAATTAATACTGCAAATTTTCAAGTATGCACAATCAGAATTTTGTAGATGTGAGAAAACTCATTATATAGTAATGGAAGTTAAAGAAATAGGACGTGTCTTAGATCTACTGACTTCTATTGGTTTGGTGAAATGTCCATAAAATGAGTGTTCTCCTTCTGAGAAGGAATATTGAAATGGAAATGTGCAGTTAAAAAAAAAAAGTGACAAAGTTGACTAAATTCCGGAGGAAAAGTACAAGTATTGCAGATACTTATGTCTGAAAAAAGTCATTGAAGCACTTTCAAAATCATAACCAAATATAAATCCAGAAAAAAAATCAAGCAAAGGCAGACAGAATTCAGAAACTGAAATACAGGCATAAGAAGAGGTTTTTTGGGGAGTGTGGCAGTCTGTGACTGTTGAAGCTAGGGACTGAAGGATGAGGATCCGCTTGACTAGGTTCATTATGACCCGAAGAATTTGATTTGTTTGGGACCACAGAGCCTATGTTTTGCAAGAAAAAAAAGTCAAATTAGATGTCTGGAGTTCAGTTCACTTTCACTCACAGCTGAACTTCAAGGTTGACAAAGCAGTGCTGAAAGAGCAGCATAGGCCTTCAGAATGTTTTTTCACACTGTGTATTTTTTTTTTCACTCGCTGAAATGATCTTGAAACTTTGCTCTGTGGGCTACTTGGACACTTTCACTCAATCCCTGCAGTGTTAAATCTGCCCATTATCTCTTTTGTTAAGCAAACACTTTTTTCATGGACCGTTTGAAAATTTGCAAAGAAAAAAATTCCTCATTTTAATGCTTCATAAATCCTATGAATATGTGCACAGTGTCCAAATGTCAAATCATTTCATAAGTTATTTCATGATTGGTATCTCCTGAAACATATCCAAACATATATTGCCTTGAATAATGCGCATTGCTTTGAGCAGTGTGCCTGTATCCATTGCTATTTCTATTAATTATAACATGAATTGTGAGTATATATTGAGGGTACAAATTCATCTGTCACATGGTAGTTACATAACAATTTATTGAAATGAATAAGTGCTCTAAAAGAAACCATGGATCTAATAGTTAAGAAAACACAACTTGTTGAGCCCATAGAGAAAACTAAATGTGAAACAAAGTTTATACTCAATGTAAAACAAACTTTATCCTGGTTTAGACATCTAATGATAGCATGTCAGCATAATGTTATTTCTGGGAGTATAAATTTTCAGTTTTTTTGTGATTAGAAATGTTTAATGTATTCATATTCACTTTAAGCTTTCGGTTCCATTGTCAAAGTGGTCAACATAGCTTTTTAAATAGTGCCTTAGGGGACCCCAATTTGAAGAAGGAGTAAAAACTGGGACTTGGCAGGACTAGGATTCAGGTTTGCAAACTGGCAGCAACATGCTTTAATTTTATTCTCTCATAAGTGGTAATGTTTTCTTGTGGGATGGTTGTAAAAATTAAGAAAGGTGACTGAAGAAAGGTGTTGAAGTACCATTTTGAAATACTATCGAAATGTCTTCTTTTGCTCTGTTTCCTGGCACCCCTCATTGCCCTCTCATCCAGTGAGCTATAACTTTAGCCTGAAGTGGAGGATGACAGATCTGTTCTACCTTATAGATGTTTTAAGAAAATTATTTGAAAGCTGTTACACAGATCAGAAGAGAGAGAGGGAGATCTTGGATAAGCTGGTTCACTCCTCAAATTCCTGCAATTGCCAGAGCCCAGAAAGTCTAACGCTTGGCCTAGAAACTCCATCTGGGTCTCTCATGTATGTGGCAGGTGCCCAAGCACTCAAACTATTCTGAGTTACCTTTCCTGGCACATTAGCAGAGAATTGGAACAGAAACCGAGCAGCTAGGAATCAAACCAGCAGTCTGATACGGAATGCCAGCATAACGGGCAGCCGTGTGACTTACCATGCCACAAGGGGCTGGAACCCCTTATGGATATTTGGAAATGCAAACAACCCTAACCATTCCATGTAATAAAACTATGAACATACACAAGAATAAGAGGAAAGTGAAGCTGGTGAGAAGCTCTTATTTATTCCCACCTGCTGGGAAAGTATTTTCTACATTTATACCATAAAGACATCCCCTAGAGAAGAAAATAGAATAGGTCTCCAATGGTTCCTGTCTTCCAACTGAGGCCAACTCCTAGTTGCTAGAATTTTTTTTTTCCCTTTAGGAGTTAGGTGTTTAAGGGAAGATAGTAAAATCTCAGAATAACTGGCAGCAAGTGCCTCCAAGCAGAGGGAGAACTACTGACCTATGGTGAGTGAAAATTGAGAGGAGGTGACTAAGAAACTCTTAGTAAAAGCCAGCTTGGATTTATGAGGCTACCAATGTCAACCCCGAACATATAAGCACAGTATAATCCACTTAGTACGGTGATGTAATCCCTTTGAATGACAGGCAAGAGAAACGCGAGGCTTAGATTTCTGTATTCAGTATGAGGGGATCAAACATGTGAATAGGAATTGGCAAAAACATTTTCATTTCTTCAGATACTTGTATATACTTGAAAATATTAGTGGAAGAAATTTTATATATGAATCATATTGTACCTAAAAACATTAGCAGAGAAGGGGCAGTGATTTTATAGTATTGTCAAATCTCTTAAGTGCTGAAATTATTTTAAAATAATTTTTTACTACATATTTTGTTAGTCTTCATAACATTAAATTTAATCATTAAGAAATGTTATTAAAATAGTCTGAAACACATTCAGGTAATTAATCTACAGTAGCAATTTGAATTATAGAAAATATAGAAAATTGCAGCAGCAAAATATTGCATAACAAAGCAAGCTTACTGCCAGTTTAATAAGCCCTGCTGATGATTAAACAAAAGGCAATATGCTAATTCCTTCCTTTGAAATTGCTTTATCTTTTTATTGTGAATTAATCTGTTCTTTACTTGAAAGGCAAAGTGAAACACATTCTCCATAACCGTTCCACTCTCTAGTGTACTGAAGCATCAGGTTTGGGCCAGGCTAAAACCAAGGGCTGGGAACGCTAGGTCCTGGTTTGTAGGAGTCATGCATGTGAGATCGCATGCTGCCTACCAGGGTGTGTATTAGCACCAAATGAAAGGAGCAATGGGGGCAGGAATGAATTCCGGGTACTCTGCTAATTAGGTTAAAAGGCTTGTGCATAATTTGTTGAAAAAAAAAATAAAAACAAACACAAAAAACACCTGTAGTAAGACTCTACAATGTAGATATAAAATCTATATACCTAAAAATCTTTAAACACTTATACTAAACATAATGTTATGACACCTTTCAGAACACTGTTTTATTCAATCTTCCAATGTTAGTAATAGATTGCCACCATGCCTACATTTACATACACATACACAAATTCTCTGGAGCTATACTTTTGTCACATGTGCAATAGGAGGAACTTATTTATCTCTACATTGTATACAAATTTTGCTGACTGCCTTCATTTCAATTCTAGAAAAACTTTGTGCAAGTCTGTTTAAAAAATAATTTTGCATGTTAGCATTTTCATCATACCTTGAAAAGATGCTAAAGCAGTCATATGATAATGGTATTATTTATCCAGAGAATATTATAGAGTAGATTCAGGCACAAAATTTAAAACAATTGTAATATAAGTAGACATCAAATATTCATAGCTGGGGCAGCTATCAAAATGTGTTGATGGTTGGAAGTAATACACTTCACTGACGACTGTACATATGATATTTTCTTGGGCCCTTAGTAGAATTTAACTGCAGGGTAATAGAAAAGCAATCCGCATATTGAAAACGTTGCTGCACACCATGAAATTGTTATTCCCAAGCAGCAGACTGGGAAATGGAAGTGTACATCCACTAAACTTAATTACTATGTGCAAGAGTTATATCAGCCTAATGGGGGAATGAAACATGGGTTTCAGTAGAACTTACACATGACTTCTTCCAGCTTCAGAAATCAATTCTCTGGTGCTCAGTTATATAATAAACTCATAGTCATAAATGAGAATATTGTAACAAAAGACCAATTTTTCTTTATTAATGAGTTGTTCATATAATTGTAATAACATAAAAGCTAATATCACTGGGAACTCAATATTTAAAACTTTAATATAGATTATTTTCTCAGAGCTAAAAAGTGAGCTGTGTTTTATTCATGTTTTATCTTTGAAGTAATTGGGCATTTTCATACTATTTTTTTTAGTGTTATGTTGATAGTGCAACCGACAAATAGCTAATGCAATCTTGAGAAACAATAATAGCGTACAACATAAAACGTACTATGAATTTATGATTGTCAAGACAGTGCTACTGGACTAGGGTTAACACAGAAAAGTAGAATACCTTCCAAAGAGTAATCTTGTATTTGCATGGCCATTTGATTTTTGATGTGTTCAGCAGTTATCCAATAAGTAACACAAATATTTTATCAACAAAAGGTTCTGGAGTAACTGGATATCAGTAGAGACAAAAGAGATCTCAATCTCTCCTGCATACCAAGATCAAAATAGAAGCTGTAGTGGTGGCTCGTGTAGGGGTAAAAATGCCTGTTGAATGACATGAGTACCGTATCATATGCATGGATTTGATCCCCAGCTCCAGCTCTCACTATGGTTTTCTGCTAATGCGCACCCTGCT